GTGTCCCAAACACACACTATAAACTGAAAATTTTTCTTAGAAACATTTTTGTTTTTTTATTGTTTTAATAAACTTTCAGAACAGGTGGATAATAAACTCTCAAGCATATGTTGAACTGTTTTAAGAATCGCTACTAAAAGTTACCAAAAATCGGACAAGTCATAAACGCTCGAAACCGGTACTTAAACAAAAAACCTTAACCAGTAGCCTAGAACTCCCAAGCAAGCCCTTGGGAAACTTGGACGAGTGACTTGATTTAACACAGATTCACATTGATTGGAAATTGGATTTCAATAGCTTTTATCGTTCAGTTGGTTTACATTTTCTGTGGTAGTCATATACTCGTATTAACTCATGACCAATTTATCTTGAATTGTCTATATGATTTACAGGGATTCTATTATGATGCGTTTTATGGAGATCTGGGATTGAATGAGGACCATTTTAAGCAGATTGAAGCAGCAGCAAAAAAAGCAGTTGATGTATGGTTATTTTTATTTTCTGAATTCTGCTTATAGATTTTAGTGACTACTTGATTTACTTGTGATTCACATACTGTTGCCAAAAGTAGTATGGCCAGCATATTTCTGCTTTAGCTATAAATATTTGGAAGGTATGTTGATTATTGAACTTTATATTTATGCTAATATGATATCACAGATTTTTATATTTGTCTAAGGAGGCTGGAAATGCAAAAAACAGCCTTAAATACCCTCCCCGTTTCTTTCACTATCAATGTTGGTCGTGCCCCTTGCATTAATTTTTATGCCCTATGATATGGAAAAGTCTGATTTCTGATATTTCTGATTGATTCCATATAAAGTTAAAGATGGTTGCATTAGACTATATGCTCAATCTTAGAGATGCCTGAGTATTTGAGCAAGATTCAGTTCTTACTAATTGTAAATCCATTTTACTAATGAAATTGTCAGATGCAAACTTGTACTTGCAACAGATACCCTACAGGTGGAGGTTTTTGGTTTGGTGTTTTCTAGCAACACAGGCTTTTTTTGTTGAAAGATTACATGCATTATAATGTCTCCCTTGTCCTAAATCAAGTAGCTATTTCACGAATACTGGGCCTATGCCAAATGGTTTCTTCGTTGAATTGTTTCATGACAAATTCATGTTAAGTTTCTTGCATTTCTCAGGAAAAACAACCTTTTGAGCGCATTGAAGTTACAAGGGAGCAAGCTCTTGAGATATTTTCTGATAATCAATTCAAGGTCAATTTGTTGCTACTTTTCACATTTCATTTAGATGTTGTATTAATAATGAATCGAAGGTTAATATTTATTACCACCTTTGGCAATTTATCTATCATGTGCTTTATTTGTTTTAGTGATTGGAGCTTACTTGATTATTTTTTTGACTAGGTTGAAATTATCAAGGATTTACCTGAGGATAAAACTATAACGGTATATAGATGTGGTCCTTTGGTTGATTTGTGTCGTGGACCACACATACCAAATACATCTTTTGCAAAAGCATTTAGTTGTTTGAAGGTGAGATCTATCTTTATTTGGTGGAAGTGAATATTTGCATGCATGACGCAATAGTTTATTCCTTTATTGTTGCTTTGAGAAATCAGGCTTCTTCAGCCTATTGGCGTGGAAATAAAGACCGTGAAAGCTTGCAAAGAGTTTATGGCATATCTTATCCAGATCAGAAACGACTGAAGGTGGTTTTCCTTGTTCTTGATTACTTCCCTTATCCTGAATATAATTTTTTCTTCTTAGGCTGTTGAGGCTGCAGCATATGTTTGCATTATTGAGTCAGTGACTTGAGGACACGGTTCAGTTCATTGGACGGTGTAATTTTTAAAAAGGTTTTGGGTATCTGTTAAGAAGTAGCCAAAATGTATTGTACGCACAACTAACGTTTATCATCAGTAATTCCACAATTTATGGATGTCAGGTGGAAATCGGACTTTTGAATGTTTACTTGTACATGTCTTAGAGGGCATTTAATTTGTTTAGTGTGGGATACTAGAATTTTTGATATGAGGAGGTTAGTGAAGGGTTATTTTCTCTATCGCTTTCATTTAGAAATATTGGAGATAGCTTTCATTGGATGCTTATAGGAGTTTATAGGCCTAATGTAGATGAGAGTAGAGGTGGATTGTGAGATGAATTGGCTGGGATGATGAATTGGTGGAACCTCCCAACGTGTATTGGAGGATATTTTAATGTAGTTCGATTTTCCACTGAGAGGTCTAGTGGAGGGAGATTAACAGGGGTTGTTGAGGACTTTTCAGATTTTATCGAACATGTTGGTGGACTTGCCTTTGATTGGGGGAGAATTTACTTGGTCATCTAACCGAGACCAATCTGTTCTATCCTGAATAGATAGTTTTTGGTATGTGGGGAGTGGGAGGTTAAGTATCCAGAGGTCACGTAGAGAAGACTGAGGAGGTTGTATTCAAATCATTTCCCCATTTCGTTGTCTGGGAATGAAAAGCGCAGTGGAAGAAGGGTTTTTAGGTTTGAGAGGATGTGGCTAAAAGTAGAAGGTTTTGGGGAATGAGTACGGAANTTCCCCATTTCGTTGTCTGGGAATGTAAGGCGCAGTGGAAGAAGGGTTTTTAGGTTTGAGAGGATGTGGCTAAAAGTAGAAGGTTTTGGGGAATGAGTACGGAATTATTAGGTATCGTATGACTTCAGGGGGTCTCCGAGTTATATGTTAGATCGGAATTTGAAGGCCTTGAAAAATGATCTTAAGAGGTGGAATGAGGAAGTGGTGGGAGATGTTACCTATTGCAAAAATCAATGCCTATCAGATATAGAAGAGTTGAATAGGTTGGAGGAAAATCGACGACTGGTAGGAGATGATAGGACGAGATGTGGAGAATTGAGGGAAGAGTTGAGAGGTTGGTGGAGATGGAGGAGATTGTTTGAGGTCAGAAATCTATGGTCAAATGGTTGAAAGAGGGGGACAGATGCACCCAATTTTTCCACAAGGTAGCTAATTCCAATATGCACAACAATTTAATCACTATGTTAGAGGAAGATGGGGTCACATATGAGGATTCACAGGATATCGGGACCTATATGGTAAGCTTTTATCAGACTCTTTATCGTGAGCAGTTGGATTGGAGGCCAGAATTGGAAGGGCTGGACTTTTCTTCTATTAATGAGGTGGATGCTAATTGGTTAGAGATACCATTTAGGGATGATGAAATTAGGGAGGTGATGCTCAGCATGAATGATGATAAGGCCCCAGGACCTAATGGATTCTCTTTCTCATTCTATAAGGGTTGTTGGGGAGTGGTGCGTTCAGACATTGTCGACGTTCTTACCTACTTTTTTCAGTGTGGAAGATT